GTATATAAATATATATATATTTTCATATCTCTGTGTATGCATGTGTAAATCAATTTAAGTAGTCTGTAAATCTATGATTTAATTACAAAGTGAGTCTTATACTGCTGCTACATATATACATTTATATTATCCTTATTCGCATAAACCTTTGACCAAGTCTGAGACTAAGAATGAACCTAGTCGCTCCTAGACTCCTCTCTGAAAAAGAGTTTAGAAATCAAGGGGGTCTATTCTGAACCTCATGACTCAACGGGAGGGTCCTCCTTATCCCCTGCATCCATGATCTCTCTGTCAATCATTCCAACTCAGTGTAACTTAATTTTCCTTTGTGCACTTCTTCCATGTAGTGATAAAGTGAACCTTGCCATCTTTGAATTTTTAACCAAGTCGCTGTTTTGATTAATTTTGTCTAATCACTTTGTTAATTGACTGATGATTGAGTGCTATTAAAATATCACAATCAAATCCTGCGATTTGCCACAAGTAAATTCTAAACCGCTACTAAATCAGTGTGAAGTCACTCATTCACGACAAATTAACATAGTCAGCAGGATTCACAAATCTGCGTTCGCAACACAGTCCTTCCAGATATAAAACATCCACGTCACAAGAGAAGTCAATTAGGACATGTAATTAAATGCATTACTATGTTGTTTCAGTCTCAGGTGTTTCTGTGATGTGGCTGGGAATGGTGGAGACCAGTTAAAAGCACAAGGGTAGGCTAACAATCACATTTCAATCCTACGTACAGTCTTACCGATAACAACCTGTATTAAAAAAAAATATGTATTTCTGCAAGTTTTTAGCTTGCTGCTTTTCACTGAGACTGTATGGGGGAAAAAATGACTGTTTCCACTAGTAGGCTGGCTCTCTTGTCTGATCTTCAGGTTCTGCAATTCGAGTTTATAGCATTACAAGGGTGAGCTGCAGTGCAAAAAAAAACCCACAAAGAAACAGGCAACAGAAAATGAACCAGCTCCCTAAGCTCTTTTCAGTTTCTGTTTTCTTTAAAAGTCACATAAAGCATTTCTATACATGTTCTTTTAGCAACCCACTGGGCTTTGTGGTACCCTATGTATCTGGGGCTGATGGATCCACACGCCCTTCTGGGTTGCTCACATTGATTATTATACCTATGAAGATAAATCCTACTATTCCCTGAGCAAGTTTAAAACTGAGTAGCAGAAATTCCTATGAATACTTTGGCATCAAGGAGACCCTATTCAATGTTGGAATTAGAACATAAAAAATCCCAGTAGCAGTATGACCCTCAAATGGTGGGATGTCAGCCCAGGAAGTAATGGTCCCAGACCGTGGGGGCACAGCAGAAGACCAGTCCCAAGAAAACTGCTGCCCCTCAGCTAAGGAAAAGCAATCCCACTGGGGAAAAGACAGGAGGGAAGATGCAGGGGTAGAAAATCCTACAAGGACAACCTCCCAGGGTAAAGCCAGAGAGGTTTTATTCCCCAGGAAATGGATAGAGAAACCCAGAAGGAGATTTGGGTCAGAGAAACATTTACAGGATAGTTGTATTTTCATTATAATGTTTAGGTCTGTAAGAGGATTTCTGGGGATAGTAACTCCCCACTCACATACCTTAGTGGGGTCATAGTAGTGCAAAAAAGCAGGATCAGCTCTCAAAACAAATCTTCTCACCTTCCAGTTTTTCCTCTTGTGCCCCTGCAAAACAGAATAATTAAAGTTACCACCAATAAATACCTCCTGCAATGGCCATTTTCCTGCAGGCTGTAGGGGAGACCTAAATAGGTACTGAAAAAAGAGGGTTTGGAGCCAACAGAGAAAAATCTTTTCTGACATCTTAGTAACTCCCAGGATTTTCTGCTTAACATCCTTCTTCATACATCGATAACTCTTTCTCCACTCCCTTCCTTGTGCTGAGAACCAAGAAAGCAGAGTGACAGGATTATATATCTGATTCCTGCTCTTAATTTCAGATTAAATAGGGGTCTTGGATTAAAACCCGTGCTGTGCGTGCTCTGGGGGGATTACGTCAGGTCCTTTTGCAGCTCTCCACTCTTCCCCCCCCAGCTCTCTCAGCTGCTGACAGTGCAGGGCAGCGCTGCGAGCCTGTGCCAGGCCCTGAGAGCATCCCCTGGCTCCTGGAGCTTTGGTGGTGGGGCTCAGGGCCAGCCTAGGGCTGGGGCCGCTGGGGGCTGCCCCTCACTGCTGCTGGCCATGGGGAGAGGCTCCTGGGCAGCTCTCATGCCCGGTGCTGATGGGGGGGGCTGCCCTGCCAGCCTCATGGGGATCCCCCAGCAGCTCCTGGCACCCAGCTTCCCGCCAGCTGGACTGGCAGCTGGAGGAGGGGGGGGTTGGGGAGCATGTGATGATCCAGTTTGCGCTACGCAAACATCGGAGCTCAGAGCAAAAAGCTCCAGAGCAGAAATGTGGCCATGCAGTGCAGGTAGGGTTCCCTCTGGCAGGTGGCTGTGTTATACTTTGAAACTGCGGGATTGAGTTTCGTCTTGTTCATAGCAAGGGTCAGAAACTAAATCTTGCAGACTGAGGGTGGGATCCTGTAAACAATTACTGCTAACAGGTAATTATGCCCAAAGAAAACAGGTCTCACCACCACTAGAGCATCCATGTGTAGATGAGTGACTGTCCACAGGTTAATGTCCACTTCACACAAATGTCAATCTACTCAGCTTTGAAATCTGTCTGTGGCCAGCAGAACGTCATTGCTGGTCGCACGACCTGGGTGGGACAGGTTGGACCAGAGGAACAGTGGATCTGCTTGGAAGTGAATGTAACACCTCTGGTGGGATTTGGAGTTTGTGTGGGACTTTTGCTTTTGATACTGTTTTATACCTTTCAGTATGCACTCAATATATACAAAATATCCGATTAATCCTGCCTGAGCAGCAAGTTCCGTAGCTCACTTCTTTGTAACTAGATGCTCTTCACCACACGATCTCTGATAGTAGTACTGACAGGCAAGTTAGCTCTGCTGGCCACAACTCTCCAGCCATGCTCATATAAGTCACATTTATTCTCTAGGAAACCCTAAGAGCTGTCATTTTTCTTGTTTCCCAGTGAAGGTTCAAAGACTTTATTTACCTGTTTCACTAAGAATCCTTGCTTCACAATTGTGCCACTTAATTCAGAGATATTAAATTGTAGCTCTTCCTTGGAACTGGTATTTTTCTTAGTGGTCTCAGCCTGCAAATAGGGAAAAGATGGTTCCACTTTTTAACTTAAACACACTCTTAAGTACAAAGTTCTGCATTTTATTTTCCTTGAGCTGTTTTTACCTCACTTTTCCCAAGTAAATTCTACCCCGTGCCCCTGCTGCTCAGCTCAGCAGGTCTGAGATTTACAAGCAACAAATTACAGCTGTAAAGCCTACACACGCACGGTGGCCTTGAGTTTAGCAAAACTACAGCACGGCCTCTGTTAAATGCAGACACAGCACGGCACCAGAGGGACACGCCCCTTTTAATGCCTAATTATGTAATTTGTAGATCCCTTCATATCCATGTAGCTATTTGTCTCCAGCAAAAGTGCAAGTGTTAGCACTTCTAAAAGCCTAGAGCTGCTCCTTCTGTGTCTGCTTTCAAAGCCGACATAATTTTGCCTTCGGTCACATGCTGTGCATGCCCCCTTTACTACTGCCCCAAAGCAAGTGAGGGGCAGAGGAGGTGCCTCTGTTGGCAGCCACATCACTTACAAACATGTACAGTGCGGTGGAGTCGTCGAGGAACTGCTCGGAGAGGTCACCATAGCGTGTGGCCTCAGTGCTGCGGGCTCCCACAGGCTTGACGAAGTTCTCCTCCATCAGCATGGATGCCAAGGTGACAGCCTCGAACCGTGACACAGCGAAGCTATTGGAGATGAGCCAGTCCACCAGGGCAGAACCTGCGGGGAGAAAGGCAGCTCTCATACCAAGGCAACGCGCTCTTCCAAGGTGAGACAGATGGTCTCCTGCCACACAGGCCTTCATTTGCTGACACATTTTGGCACCATCACAAAGACTGTCAATGAAGTACAAGGTTGACCAAAAGTGTGGGGTCCTACATGTGCTTCCATATATCCAAAGAGCAAGAGAGAGAAGTGTCAGAGAACTTGGCTGTACCAGTACTTTCCACCGGGCCACAATTGATCCCACCATGAAGGCAGTACAGTAGCTCCCTTGTCACTGCAATGTGGCATGTCAGATGCAAGGAAGCTCTTTGCCTGCAGCAGGTGTACCTGTGAAGGTCTCTTTGTATCTGTTGCCTTGCTCCAAGTTGCGGGTCAGCTTAATTCCAGTACTGCTGTCACACATTCTCTCCACTATGTGGCTGTAAAAGAGAACACAGGACAATGTTAACAGAATAGAAAGACCTGCAGAAGCTGTCATGTACTTCTGTCAGTGCCTGGGATGCCTTAATGATTACCAACATAAAGATGGGAAACAGTCCAGCTACTCCCCCATAAGTTTTATCCTAAGTATGGTGTAGGAAAAATTTGTTGTCCCAATAGCTGCATTAAACAAGATGCCTCACAAAGTATCTTTCAATTTAAAGCACTTCAAACTGAGCTATAGTCAGCCTCCATTTACCTTCTCAACACAAATCAAATTGAAGTAGTTTTTTGCCTTCTTAATCAGTTCTCTGTTTCCTCTTGTTTAACATCATGCACCCTAAAAATCCTAGTCTGGATTCTGGCTATCAGCTTTGAAATCTCATCAACATGGCATGAACAATGTCATTGCCCGGTCTTTCCCTGACATTACATCTTCCAAGGTAATATGTCTCCCCGATGAGAACCTCTACAGCTGACTAGGAAGGTCTTCAAGCCAGCAGTGAGATGCCTGTGCAGAATCCACACACACGCCCTGCCCCCCCCCGCCCCACTCCCCCCCAAATGATGGTCAGGAAAAAGTGCATTCCTGTGCCCTGGCAAAAATGCGTGCAAACCTAGGGCAGAGCAGCCTGTTTAGAGGCTCCTGGCCACACGGGAGCAGATCTGTGCAGAGAGGAGCTTCCCCATCCATCAGCTCAGGCAATTTGCAGACTACCGCAATAGCAGAAGCAGAAACCATATACACTTACTGGAGGCTGATATTCTCTAGCAGTTTGAAAGAGTTCTTCATTCTGTGAAGCTCTTGTACCTGTACTGGGTGACCAGCATGAATAGCTCCAGTGATGTCCAAAGCCCAAGAGTCTCGCTCCTCCCTGGAGCAACATTCAAGGAAATAGTCTGTGTTGTTTTTTGTCTTTAGTTTGATGAGTAGCTGTGGAGAAAGTGCAAAGCAATAATGTCATTTAGCTATTGTCCTCCACTTGCATTTTGCTTCTTTTGGTACTGGCCCAAGTAACACAAGTAAGTCTGATATGGCATCCCACCTGAGCAGTACAGAATGATTCTTGGCCAGAAGGATGGTGGGCACGACTGGTTTTTTTTGCTTCCCCCCCACCCCAAATCCCTGGGTTTTCAGTTCCAAGCATGGTTTGCATGCATGGAGATTGTGGTACTTAAAAAGACAGCAGATCACCCAGATACTGGATTACATAGAAGTGTGCTGCTGACTATGGAGTTTTTCACATCCAGATCTCTAGTTTCTCAACTACAAACTCTCGCTAGCCTCTTTCTGCCATGACAAGTACTGAAATAGTCACCAACTTCCAGAGTCATTTGCCTTCTGGCCCCACTCAGGGGAAGTCTACATTGCCCCAGGTGAGCAGAGAAGTGCGGGAAGCACTTTGCTTTCCAGAGCCCTCTTGCTTGGAAACTTTCCACAGCAGTGAAGTCCCATTGGCAAAGGAAAAGGGAGTTTGCCCTGGCTGCCTGGGAATGCCCTGTGGACACAGCCAGGATTTAAGGCAACTACCAGAGATCATAAGTTTCCTTTTTCCCCATCCTCCTCAGATTTTATTGAGCTGTTTGTGTCCTCCTTCCACACACTGTTGGCCTGATGCATTTGCATTTATTCTTGCCACTGTGTGTGTAGGGGTGTTGGGTTTGGGTTTTTTTTGTTAATGGCTGTGACTCAGATTTGGGCACAGGGAACAGCAAAGACACAATGAGGGAGTTCATTGCTTGTCCTGGTTGTGCTGCTAATGGCAGCTTGCTTTTGGCTGGGCCTAATTCTGGAAACACATACCCCAGTGATATGGTTGCAGTAATCAAAGAAGTCAGGAGGAGAAGAAGAGACTAGGGAGAAGTTAGAAAGTGAACATCATTAAGAAGGGATACTTTTTTCCAGTCATACCGGTCTGTTCTCATATTCCAGGCATGGACAAGTAATAGTGCAGCCATCCAAAAGGATCCTGCCCTTTGGAGAAGGCTCCTTCTTGCCTCCTTCAATTTTGTAATACAGGAGCTTATCCTGAAGCAGAACGAACCATCTCACTTTCCAGTTACGAACAACATGTCCCTGGAGGGGAAGAAGTCCACATAGCTAACTTGAACACGAGCATTGAGAAATGACCATTTTTTTTTTTTTTTTTTTCTTTTTTTTTGGGGGGGGGTGGGTGTGTGTGTGATAATACCATAAACTGATAGGAAACTGTATGACAAGAAACACAAGAAGTTATCATGAGTCCTGTTCTCCCTGAAATACACATTTTTAGTAATAAAATAGCACAGCTGCATCACTATAAAATCATGGAACCATAGAAAGGTGCTTTGCTCTTTCTCCAGCAAGGACATCTTCTTTGCTGGACAGAATTGTTTCTTGCAAAGGCTCACATGAATTATCTCCAAGAGCTGTCATTCAGGTGTGCACCTGCCCGCTGACAGCTCTAGGCAGGAACAGGGCTAAATCCCAACCGCGTGAGGGCTCTTGGCGACAAACTGCTCCTCTCCAGTGATGCTGGGTGGTGTTTGATGTTTTGTTCTTTGTCATTTTGATGTGGCTGTAAGTGCCAAGTGGCTTTGAGAGTGCTTTGCTAGGTGAATTGGCTTTTCCTTACATCCCCTCTTACTGCTAATGAGTGCTTTATTTCTATCCTACCTGCCTCCAAGCTCCAGGGCTAAAACTTTCCCTGTGCTACTGTTTCCTGTAAAGGAAATACGCTTTTTAATGGCAAAAAGCTGAATGAAGGCTGCTGTCGAATGCCTCCTGGGTTATACCAGAATACAGACAAAACCTCTTCTTTCCCCTCTGTAAACAGCCCCCAGCTCTCTTCAGTCCGTCTGTACAGGAGAGCAAACCCAGTGAGGGCTGGCACTGACAGGCTCAGTCCTGTCTGACGGTGTCAGGTCCAGCTTCACAGCATGAGGAGCTGACTTGCATGTCTACAGGCGACGGAGCATTACAGCTAGCAGGCGAAGCACTGGGCAGAGGAAGCTCTGACACCTGGGAGAGGGTGGGCATAGCTAGAAGAAAGGAACATGCAAGGTCCAGTTGTGGCAGGAATCAAAGCTCATTAATTCTCTATGAGTAAAGGGGAAAAATTTCCAAGAAAAGGTGGGGTAATGAGTCTCTAAAATCCAGGGCACTTTAGATCTAATGTCTTCTCGTCTATACGAAATACAATTTATCTAACTTGGGTTTGTTCTCTCCTTCCCTTTGCCTTCTTCAGTGTTTTTTTCACCTGTTGTAAAGTCCCTTGGCCATTTTTCCTGAGAGTATGTTCTTTGCTATGGCTCTTTTCTTTCCTTCTTGGAGATTTCCTCTTTTTCAGGAGGTTGCCTTACTTTTTTTTTCTTTATCTTTACCTGACTTCTACATGTTTACATTACAATATATAATTCCGTCATTTATAATGCATTTAGATCATCTCCTTGCTTCTGCTCTCTTCTTAAGAAAGTTCTGTTTTCTTTACCTGATCCCACCCCTTCCTCTTTTTCTTTGGATCCCTTGTTCCCTTCTCCCTCAGTTTCCTTTAGGCATCTTCTTTGTGGTCTCCTTCCTACCAGACTCTGTATCTTGGTGATGTTGTACAGACTGCTGGCAGCTACAGCTCAGTGTGCTGCCAGTAACCTATTCCTCTCACACACTTGCTGCCTTGGCTTCCCATCTTGAAATCAGGAGTCACTTAAGAGCCACAAAATAACAACCATAGCCCAGAGAGGAGAGCAGGAGCTGGGACTGCTCTGCCCTCGCTGCAGAAGGGAGGATGAAGTACAGCTCGGGCCATGCAGCTCTTCTCCGCGTAGGGCATGGCTTCACATGGCTGGCAGCTGGCCGGGAGCCCTGCCAGGAGAGCTCCTGACCAGGATTCCCTTCATGTTAGCACCAGAAGCACTGCCACGTAGTGTAGAAAAGCATTTCCCAAGGCGTGGCAAAGCTTTGAACAAACCTTTGAATTGCATTTTTTTTTTTGTGCAATCAAGGACCATATTAGTCATTGAGACAGGGTCTTGGTACTAAAAGCAGCTTATGCCCCTTGCTAAGTTGTGCTCTTGTGTCCCAGCTATGACTGACGGTCCTATAGGGAGAAGTTTTGGAAAGGCTGAAATCTGTGACACCATCTTTCAGCTCTTTTCTCCACATTTTGGCTAAAACTCCACTTCCACTGCTGCCATGTAGCCATTTGCCAGGTAGTTTTTTTATGTGCTCTTTGCAGAGGCATGCCCTAGGTGCAGACATACTGGCTTTCTGATACCTAACTGAGTAATCCTAATAGCTAATTCACTTTCCTCTAGGTAAATGGCAATGCAGGGAAACTCGAGGGAGGGTAGTGAACACGTGCACTTCATGCAGTTCCCCCGGCAGGCATCTGCACAAACCTGGAAGAGCTCCTTTCCAAGGAGCAGGCAGAAGCCCCTCAAACCCAGTGCCCAACGGGCTGCCTTGCCATGCGCCCTGGCTCGATCCAGTCCCTGCTCAGGGGCTGCTTCCACCTTTGAGCAGAACCGCACGAAGGGGAACCGAAGCACTTACCCGTTTGACGAGGAAGCCCTCCTTCAGGACTCCAGCTGCTTCCTGCATCGTGGCCAGCAGGGAAGAGTGCCGAGCGCCTGCCGAGAAGCACCTGAGCCCTGGCAGTCTGTCGCTCTGCATGCCATTTGTTTAAGAAAGCTCATTTTTCTTTGCTACTCTCCTCCTCCAACGTGACGCAGCCTCCCTTCCCTATTTTTTTCTCCCTCTTCCTACCTATGAGACATTAGTTAAACAGTGAGCTGGCTCTGATACATTACCTGCCCTCCGGGAAGTAAAACAAAGGAAAGTCTGAAAAGGATCTTAAAAGAATTTCACAGAATTTAGTATAGAAAAAAACCGCCACCAAGTGACTTGGCCAATATAAGCAGCCACATGATGACAAATCGGGTATTGCAGGGGAGGGAGAAGCAGAATTATAAAATCGCACTCCTCAAAATTTCAGACTAATCTACCGCTTAAAATTTCTCATCTAATAAACACATCTCATAGGGGTTCTACAGATCAGAACACCTTAAGTGCAACATATAGAATATTAAGATTGCAAGGAGAATTTTACAAACCTTAAAATAATTTATTTTGCTAGAAATTTATTTTACTAAATTTTACTAAAGAAGCCCCAAAGCACCTAAAAGCCCACACTACTTTCATATAAACCAAGATTCTCAACTTAATATCCTAAATCCCTACATAAGCAACTATCAGGGCTTTGGGTAAAGCAGTCTCATCAATGAACACCAGGCAGTGACCTCTTGTAACTCCTGAGCACCTCTGAAACAGAGTGCCTTTTTTGTGCTGAATACGAGCTAGAGGTTTATTGCATTTTTGAAGACTTTGGCCATGATAAATCTGTTCGATAGATTTACCAAATCTTGTCCTGATGAAATAAACCAGTACTAGTGTTTCAGACAGCACTGCTGTTCAGAAGTAATAGTCTTTGCTGTACTGTTAGCATTTCCTGACTTGTACCAAAATTAAGGTGATATACGTGGGCAGAGCTAGGTGCTGTGATAAGAAACACTATGTAGACTATAACAAACAAAAGCACTCGTTGCTATGTAAAAAGGGAGTCCAGAGTTCAGTAAGACAAAGTGACTCAGGTATCTCTCAGTCTTTGCACACCGGATCAGATTATAGGTCACACTTTCATGTACCGAGGAAAAGGAACATACAAATAATTTCTTTATCTTTATACTATTTTTTATAACTTTTAGTGAGGAAGAGCAAGACACCGAAGAATTCAAACCTGGCAATGAACTGGAGACAACCCAGAGAACACTTCTGCAGAGATCATGAGAAATACAATGGTGCCTCAATGCTACTTAAGTTCGAAAAATTGATTGCTGTATAAAGAGAAAGCAGCGGGCCTGTATGGAAGTTACCTATGTAGCTCCTACTGTAGTCCCTTTGCCACTTTGGAAAAGGCAGGCAGCCACGAGGCAACTGCCTGCGTAAGTCCTATCCCCGTTATGTTTGTTCTTCAGTCCACCTAAAGTAATTACAGTAAGTTTAATAGAACACCCACAAGAGTATTTTTTTGCTGTAGGTATGTAGTATTTTCAAAGATATCAATGTGAATTTTTTTTTATATATATATCATTGTGGCCTTAAAATAAAGCAGAAGTGAACTGAGTGCATTTCTTTTAATTTAAAAAATAATCTCCATCTCTGTGTATAAACATAAATATATATATAAATAAAAGTTGTGCTCAGAAGCAGAATCTTGGGGAAAAAAACCTGATGCAGTCAGCAGAAAAGAAAACAAATTTCAGCTCACAACATTCTGCACGTCAGAATTGAACTTGAGAAAAAAGAAGAAAACTTGAGTCTAGGTACACAAGAGACATTACTGCTGCTTGTGTTTCCTGGACACGCGCTCTTTATATAACCAGCTCCAGGAATACAGTGTTCCACCATTTGGTATCTGAGGTTTGACTCCACATTGTTCAGCTTGTTACTGCAGGCAATTTATAACAAAGTGGGTGAGATAATTTCATGCTAGTGAGGACAGGTAGAAGCTTGCAGGGGGCTCTCGCTCAGACAGTGATCTCAGAATTGCACCATAACCAGTCCTCGTCGAAGATCTGAGCGAGCTCTTTTCCTCCAGCATGCAGACCACCCACAACCCCACAGATGGATCTTGGCAAAATTACCATTAGCAATGAAGAATTTTATTGTCAAACTGCTGGTGAATGGTGAAGCAAACATTGCCCTAGCTGACCATTGAACAACAAGTTTTGTATCCACTATGTTTTATGATCTAGAACCTTCACTTTCTTCAATACCTTGGATAGTCATAATACCCACCGCCCCCCACCCCCCTGTCTGATTCTGTAGTTAATCAAGGCTAACAAACTGCCCCTATATTGCTCCCGGAGGTTGAGTAAATACAGATCTCTCAGACAGCTTTGTGGGAAAAGGGTCATATAGTGTAAAATGAGTCAGTGGATCGGGGCTGCCGTATTCGCTCATGTGCTGGGAAGGCAAGCTCTGGCACTGAAGTCTCCCAGCAGAAAAGGACGTGCTTCAATTCGTTTAAGTCCAGGGAGCTCCAGAAAACTTGGTCAGGTCTTCTGTGGGACTTGAAACTCACTGAAAGGAGGACTATCTGTTTCCTCAGATCCATTTTATAGTGGTGTTTTCCACATGTCAGCGTAGGATTTTAAGAAAAAAGCAAGTTTTTCCATTCAAAGTGACGCCAAAACACTTTATGTGCTATAGAATTTTCATTGGGAGGGCCAGGAAGAGCCAGCTGCAGGCTTCAGGACCACAGGACACTACTCATGGTTAAAGGGAAGGGCAGGAGCAGCCGGCTCCAAGCGCAAACTGGGCTATTTCAGCTGGCCGACCTGACAGATGCTGCTGGTACCTCCAGGTCAGTCCCTCAAGAAGCCATGAACAGCTGATTAAGAGAACCTGCCCAAAGAACAAACCCCGCCGCATGCTCTGCAATGCCCATCGTGCATCATCATGTGAACAGTGTCACATGGGGGGTTACATATACCCAGCTTTTTCAAAGCAGCTTCTTAAGACGCTAGGACTTTGCCCTCCGGTGTAGGACACCACTGAGTATTTAGTTCCTTTACTGGATTAAGGATAAAGTAAGATGAAAACAAACCACATCAAAATAAAGAACAATGAAACATTTCTAGATAAAAGTGAAAGATGACAAGTGTTCAAAAGTATTCTGACGTAAGAGCATTTTTAGAATTAATTGTAGACAGGTGGCAATGTTTGAAAACAGTTAATTGTCTAGACTCTGAAACAAAAAACTATCAGAAATTAAATACCAAGTGCAGATTCTGCTATGAAGAACAATACGTCAGCTCCGCTGCGTCTAAAAAACCCCCAAGGGCCAGAATCAGAGAGAAAAGAGCAAGGGATTGTCACTGTATGAAAAACCACACAAACCACAACAGCCCCAAGAAAGCAGGGCACCCCTTCTTTAGCAGCTACTACTTCCCCTAATCAGAAAGAGGATACTGGGCTGTGCGTTACTGGACTGTGTGCCTGACCTCAGCCAGTACCTCTGTTTGGGGTTTTTTTTTGTATTAATAAGTCCTTATCAGATATGATAAGTAGAACTGTTTCCCAAGCTGCCAGTCTTACAAAATTAATTTGGGATATGAGTCAAACTGAGATCATTACAATTAACACATCAGGCCAAGCCCTGTCCGTGGGTATACCCGTACCTTTCCCTCCAGTTGACTACATGAGTACAAATGGGGATTTTTGGCCTTGCAATTACAGTTAAGTAAACAGGACAGTTGCTAACAAACAGCAGGAAAGTGCTACCGCGCTTTAGCGACTTGACAAAGATATTCACACAAACCCCACGACCCTTATTTTAAGCATTTGGTAAGCAAACAAAGTTCCACGCATACAAAATAGATCGGTTGAGATCGAAGGTATCATCTCAACAACTTCTAAAGATCCTTAAGCCACAGGCTACGGCAACTGAGGCAGCATGGCCGAGGCCCAGCACAGGCTTCACAGGTTCAGCGCTCCCTTACACAGACCTCGCTAACATGTCTTGAAAGCGGCCATCTTAGACCTCCTCCTTCCAGCTACTGCAACACGCTAGAAATATCCACTAAGTTGTCTTGTATCTTTTAAGCTTCTTGGTTAAAATTTGCTCAGGCAACCGGAGAGCCTGATTTTATCTGCCAGTGTAATAAGTGATTGAAATCTGTTTATCTTAAGCTGCTTCATTACTGTCCTCACCATCTTTTTTTTTTTTTTTCCAAGCACTCAAAATTGACACAGAATTGTGTAAAGTAGCACACTGAGGCTCTAATTAGAAAAGCTCCTATAGTTACTGAACAAGTTTAGCAAACTTTTGCCTAAGTTACTGATAGAAACAATGCTCACCTATTAACACACCAAAACAGTTCTTAGAGATGATACTAATTGTAGCCCCCTGATAATATTCCAAGGAAATAGCACATGTGGCTCATTTTTCAGTGCTTTGCTTTATAGCATTATTTTGGCATACAGATCACATGGCGACTTTTTAGTTTATAAACACTTTGTTCTTTTGTCTGAGTACCCACCTATTGTGTTTAATGGAAGCCAAATCACTATTTTAGCAAATGGGCAAAGTTGGAAGAGCTGTTCAAACAGGAAACTGACATCACAACTTCAAGCCATGACAAGGCTGTTACACACAGCTTCTGAAAAGACAGCAATTTGAGAAAATAAATATTTTAAAAAAAAATTGTTTCTTCATTTTGTGATAACACATTCAGGTTATTTTCCAACATTCTGCAAAGACTAGAAGTTACTTAACTTTTTTGGCTTTGCATAGTAAGGTTGGGTACATGTGAACTGCTCTGATGATTGAGCATGAATTGAAATAGGTATGCCCTTTGTGAATGTCTTCCGTGGCAACACCAGGTAGCAATTACATTGGTTTGTACTGCAGTAATACAAGAATTCCTAGTTATGGCTCAAAGCCTCATTTTTCATGCATTTTTCCTCTAGCAGCACAAAACACTAAGAAAAAAAATGTGCAATATGGGACATGTCAATGGAAAAAGATATAAATACGTTTAAAAATTTAGCAATATGGAAAGGTTACTTAAACAACTCCTGCTCCCTGTTCCCACAAACAAGGAAAACAGGATTTTTTTTTTTTTTTTAAACACGCCAACATGGAAAGCACATCTTGTTTCTCTTCTTCAGAGAAGATAAATATGCTGTTTCTAGAGTGAATAGCTCAGTTCAGTGTAAATGAGATTTAGGGTAGGCAGAACTGAAGGTCATGCAGCAGTGAGCTCAGAAGACAGCACTGTATTTTGAAGTATTAGTAAGTTCATAAAAGCTCCTGCTATATTCACCTATAGGAGCGAAGTGCAACTATATGTAATTTTTCATTTATCAGCCACGTTTATTGGAATGGTAACAAGCTATGTTCAATGTTTTCAAGTTCTCAGTCCCTAAACACAGATAAAAAACAAAGGAAATGCTGTTTTAAACAAGTCTGCATCAACAAACTTGCAAGAAAAACATTTTGTTCCACTCATTCTTGGCTTGATTTAAAGCAAACAAAAGAAAGCCCTTTCAACGTTAAAGGGGAGTCACCCACTGATCATACCCTTCCAGGTTTTATATTCATATCACTCTAGGCCATGTGACAAAAGAGAGAAAAAAAAAAATCTTGGGAGTTACACAGCCCAGAAATTTATTGATTATTTTCTCAAATACATTCTATATAGAACTTTTCAGCTTGCTTGGTTTTGGTGCTCCCAGGAAAGATGATTAACAGATGCACTGAGCTGTAATCACCAATTAGGAATTGTTATGTCTGAAAATGTTAAGCATGGGGCTGCAACCTCCCTCTGGCCAGATCTGTGTCTTGAATTTGACTAGGCACCTTCCCTTCAAAGGATTCAATTTGTGTAAGCTGTTGCATCAAATGTTACTTAGAAGAGCCTTTCACATATTGGTCTTTTAAAAACAGTAAAACACTTCAAGTATGCATCTGAAGTTTTCAATACTGGACACATTTAGCCCAGAGTGTTTGCAATGGGGTCTTTAATTTTTCATATGGTCTCTTCTAAATATCCCAGAACATTTAGTCTTCAGTTTTGGCTTCCATTTCCTCAGCATCATCATCCCCATCCACTTCAGCATTTTCCCTCTCCAGTCTTTCCAACTGCCTTGCAAGCTCAGTCTCATCTGTGTCAGTAACCACCTTAGGCTGAAAAAAACCCAAAAGAGAAAACATGATAAACTGTCATTAAGAAAGACTGTATATATTTGTAGGCTCTGATTCTACATAAAGAGCAAGAGATAAAATACAACTTGAAGTCACACAATAAATCCCAGGATAATTAGGATTTTTTGCCGTTTGTCTAAGCAGCACAGAAGTTTAGGTTTTTTTTCAGTTTCTTAATAGCTTTTTGCTAGAATTTCTCCTAGCACTACTGGTCTTGCTCTACTTTAAAAATGTTGCGAGAAAAAAAAAATTTGCATTTTAGAACGTAATGTGTTCTTACCTCCATCTGCACATTAAAGACTCCTCTCTTCTCCTCAATTTTTTCTTTAATTACAGCCATGGCTTGATTTAGAACTGACAGTCCTTCAGTTCTCTCCAGCGTTGTTGTTGTCATCACATAACGAGGAGGGGCTATCAGATTAATCTATCACATTGTAGGGGTGGGGTGGGGGGTGGGAGAAAAAAGCAAACTCAGTAACAAAAAGAAAGAAAAAGCTCAAAAGCAAAGTGAGCAATGCAGTGCTGAATGTAAGATTCAGAGAAGAGGAGACCTTTTCCCATTAGAAAAACCCTTTCTAGAAGTATAAACAACTTGGACAGAAATAGCAGAAAAGAAAGTGCACAGCCTGTCCGATTTCCAACATCAACACCAGTTATTTCTACATAGTATGTTTATTTGGACAAATATTGCTAAGCAGAGAGAATATCCACTTTGCAGATCAGTAAAACTGCCTATCACATAATTTTTCAAACAATTAAAAGACTCTGACAACCAGTATGTTGTGTTTGGGGTTGTTTTTTTGTTGTTTTGTTTTTTAAGATGACTGGATAAGTAAACTTTTCCTTTTGTTACAAGAAACCATTCTAAGACACCATTTTCAAACCAGGAAGCACTTCCAAGTTTTTTGAAAACACTTATTCAGTAATGCGTTCAATATCCTAAAATTGTTGGGGAGAAAAACTAGGCCTGGGTACAGCAGCCATTCTACCAACACTAAAACATATGTGGACCAAACATTCCTCTTCTTACATAATCTTACATCTGAAAATAAAATCTGTTGCTCCCTACTTAAGGCTGCATAAAGGAGTAGTAGGTATGCAGTGTGCCAAGACTAGGCTTTAATATATTGAACAGAATAAATACAGCTTCTTGAACTTGGGAAACCACAACACAGTCACAGGAACAACTGGCAGCACAGAGCTGAAAGGAAGTGTGCTACATACCTGCTAGAGAAGAATCAGAAAGCATGTACATGGCTTCCCAGCCTCAGCTATGTGATTGCGACAATTGCAATTGCATGCTACTGGTACCTGAGGGCATCAGACAACTTTGCTTTTGACTTCACTATTAAGACAGAAACTTACTTTAATGGGCATGTTCTCTGTGGAACAGTTCAAGCCTGCTCTCAAAGCTTCTTTTACTGCATCGATACCTTCATAACCGTAACAGGCAACCTCAATATCTAGGACAGAGGAATACAAATCACAAAACTTTAAAGTTACCAAAAGCTGTAGAATCTTTAATGCTTTCAAACTTAAGCTCTGTTAAAGCTTTTTAGCAACCAATGTTTATCCACAATGAAAGCCTTGGTAGCTCCCAAAGCTGAGGAAGGTATTTCACTTTCTTGACTTGTAAGTTGAGGTAAAAGTCTTCATAAATTCTTTAGATGTACAACATTTTACATTGTGCTTTGAAAAGCCAGGATATGAAATTATATATATACACCCACATTCACTCACCTCTCACCCAACAAACTCAACAGTAGTAATTATGTATTTCACATGGAGAGATGAAGATATAAAAGCAGTAAATACCAGAGAAAATGAAAGACCTATCAGGAAAAATGAAACTTGAGAAAGAGCACATCCACAAATTCATGGAATTCTGTCAGCAATTATAACAGAGGCATCACTTGAGGAGCGCTGCAATTTTTTTTTTTTTTTTTTTTTAAGGTAAGTTATATTGACACATTGTTAAAGTGAGTTAGCTATAGCTTTTTGTAGATGTTTAGAAATTAAGACATAGACTAATGCTGGTCATATCTGTAATACCCTGATTAGTCTAAAGACAAAGATTTCTCTACCTATGTAGCAATGGTGCAAGACTAAGCTACACAGAGAAGTCAGTCTCACTTCCAGGTGACTAACAACAACCTGCTAACTCTCAGCTATCACAAACAAATTCACAGAAGAGCATCCCAGTCAGCCTCAGGATGAGGCTACAAGCTAATGGAAAATTTCTACACTTGCTTTGAAGACAGAATTAAAAACAACTTGGACCATCACAACAAAATAGGCAAGATGAAGGAAGTAAGAGAACATGCTCGTCAAGTAACTTTATTTTCAAAACAAATGAAGTACCATTTATGTTATCAATTTCATTCTTCATGGCAATCATAGAACCATAGAATGCTTTGGATTGGAAGGGACCTTTAGAGGTCATCTAGCCCAAGCCCCCTGCAGTGAGCAGGGACATCTGTAACTACATCAGGTTGCTCAGAGCCCCATCCAACCTGACCTTGAATGTTTCTAGGGATGGGGCCTCCACTACCTCTCTGGGCAACTGTTGTGATTTAGCCCCAGCCAGCAACTAAGCACCACGCAGCCGCTCGCTCACTCCCCCTACCCTGATGGGATGGGGGAGAGAATCGGAGGAGTAAGAGTGAGAAACACTCCTGGGCTGAGATAAGAACAGTTTTAACAATTGACATAAAGTAAACCAGTAATGATAATAATAACAATATAATAAT